TAAAAATTTTCTTTGTTGATTATAAATAACTACATTGATACACACATAAGAATTAGTCAAAAATCTTGTACAGGAAAATGCTTGATAATTATCAGAAGCTAGGTTCACATTGAAGGTGATGAGCATCATTATTATAATACCAATTAATTATTTATTATTTAATCTGATTTGTGCGAAGTACAAAAGCTTATAATGGCCATTCTTTGTTACTTCCAATATGTATGTAGGTTGTTCCAGTAACATAATACTGAAATTGTTAGCTTTTCAAAATACAATTTATTTTCTAAAGATTAGAAAATTTTGAACACTATCGCCGTGGAATGCAACAGAAAAAATGGAATCAATACAAACATGAAAATTTGCAAAATAATCAAAAATAAGGCAAAATGGTGTTAAAATTACTTGTAATATTTGGAAGGCAAAACCATGAAAAAACTACACAATTTTCAAAGAAAATCTGAGGAAATCATTCAGTTACGTAAATCAGAGATGCTCAAATGCAAGACACGAGGCCAGGCTGCACGCAGTGGTCCACAGCAATGGCTTGCATTACACTAGACTAGAGCAGACCAAACTTTCTCACGCCTGCTGTCAGGCTGACTCGAGCAGCAGGACAGGGGCTGGACCAGGGTGTGCCAAAATGGCCACTCACATGTGTTAACACAATCATGCAATTCATAAGAGCCAATAACAATGAATGAAACATCACTGTAGTGAATAAGAAAAAAAATGTTGACACTTTTAAGATTCTCAATTTGCTATCCTTTTCATTAAATTTTTTTTTAAGAAAGTCAATGAGTCATTGACTTAGGTCAAAAATATTATTTGCAGCTAATGCAACTGATTTAACAAAGATTCAAGTTCATGTGAATTTTGGATTTAAGTTCCTAGATATTACTGTATGATTTGTGAGTTTTTTTACGAAAAAGGCTATCATCTAACTGCTAAAGAATAAGTGCTGCATGAAGTAATGCTGGTTCTCTGAGAGCCCAATGCTTAAGGTGCACATCAGATCGACTGTGTTTGCCAAACACGACATCAGAAGTTTTAAATCTAATTTATATGTGAATACATTACATTATGTATTAAATTTAAATATATGTAAACAATTATGCATACTTAATACTTGGTTTTACAAATCTGTAGATAAATGGTACCAAATAATGAACTTAATTGTATGATTTACAAGCTTTTCATGTCTTAAGAGTTAGGCATTTACTTAATATCCCTTTTAATATGATCAACTGGATCAGAACAAGTGATTTTATAGAACTTAAATTTTTACCAAACTAAGATTATAATACGCTTGTCAAAATTAAAATATCTCAGTCTTGCATGAACAATTAACTGAACTTGTAATAACATTACAATAGCTAAATATTATTTAACTACATCACTAGTAGGTATTATGTACTGAACATGCAACAATTTTAAAGATAAAATATAAAGTAATAAAAACAAGCACTAATATTCAACATATCTTAGTGTCAAAATTTTCATTCTATTTGTCTGAGATTTGAAGATTTTTTTTCTTTATTTCATATCAGCAAAGATATAAAGTGTCTTTTATCAACTTAAATCTGCAGTGTCCTTTCTATTGATAAAGGAGCCAGACCACTGAAGTGTTCACTTGACTTCTAAGGTAGTTTTTGATCAAATTTCGAAAATGAACTTTCAACTTTGGCCACTGTAATGGAAAGATAATCGTACGCATACACACTAAATAACGCCATGAATAGCTGTAGAAGGACCCTCAAACAAACAATAAAATTTTAGAGTACAAACAAAAAACATTTTATTCTCTCAATAAAGTTTTGAAACTGCAGGAAAAATCCAGTGTGTGAAGAGACTGCCAATCAAAGAATTAAAAAGGTATCTTTTGCTATCAGTACTTTTTGTCAGCATACTTAAAAATATAATAAAAATGGCGGTCGTAGACAGTTAAAAGCAGTGGACATATGCTCTTTTGACATTTTTTTTTGTACTGAATTTGAATTGTTAAACATAAAACTGATTTTATTGAAACAAAATTCATATGTGCTACATGATGAAATTATATTTGGCCCTAGTCAATCTCATGGCCATATTTGAAACTTCTGGTTAAAAAACTTTTAACATCATATACAGAATTACTTTCATTATATGACATGTTTCTTGCTTCTTCAGATTATCCCTTGTTCCTGGATAGGCAATGTCATTTGAACTGATGTGAGTGTATTATGATGTAAGACAAAGGTGTATGATGCCACTTCATTGATAAATGGCAAAGCTGTCACAACCCCTAGAGACCTTGGGTCATAAATAAAATGAAAAAAAAGTACTGGTAGCAAAAAGACACCTTTTTAATTCTTTGATCGGCAGTCTCTTCACACTGCAGGAAAAATCCAGTGTATTTCTGCCACCAAGTTTTAAAGGTATTTAATTGGTACAAATTCTAGATTCACTTTAACAATAGTACATTTAAGAAAAGAACTTAGAATTTTTGTATTTCATTTGTCATATGCTTTGAATTCTGTCATGTTTGCGAAGATCTAGTTTGATAATAGAAAAATCTCTATCATATGGCAGAAAGGTGTGACCCCTGACAGGAAAACAAATGTTATATTATCTTGAATTGTTTCATAACTACAAGATGTAACAGAAAATAAGTGAAGTTCACCAAACTGTGCCCAAATAGTGAGCAAGAATGGTATGAGGAAATAACATATAATCTCATCAGGATCATTTCTTGCCAGGCCCTAATGGTAGATTTAAATCTCAGATAACATATTTCTTGCAGAATTGTTTTTAGCAAGATTAGGTTCTGCATACAATCAATGGCAATAGATATTACTTTGTTGCTTTTTCCAATATTTGCATCAGACCGGTACACCTCTAGAAAATCTGTAGTCAAACATCAAAGTATGGAATTCTCAGTACGTTTTTCACTGTAAATTAGTTTCATGAACACTCTTTCTATTATTTCATAAATAGATTTAAAAAAATTATTTGTTGGAAATCATTACGAACTGCCAAAAACAAACATTTTATGAGTTTGGGAATATGTTAACTTCACTTTTTTTCCCTTACAGAATGACTTTGGGAATATGTTAACTTCACTTTTTTTTCCTTACAGAAGAAATACCATTTCTCCCTTCATTCAACAATGAGTTTCATTGTTGCATTGTCAAAGGCTACAATCAGTGGAGGGCAGGGACTCGTGGAAATGTCATTGCGATATTTAAAATTCACTGTGCTTCTGTCAATGCGTCTTTGATTTCCAATGTTGTAAATTGTGGTCAGATTTCTATTTGATCTTGTAATATTGATTATTATCTAATACTGCATATTAAAGCACATTATAATCCTTATTGATTGTGTGTATCTAAAAACATCAAACTGCACTGTAACTGTTTCAAAGAAAAAAATAATTTCCTATTATTTACAACACTTCCCACAATTTACACCATTTTCCTTAGGGTCCCACGAAAAGTGTAAAAAAGGAGTTTTACTGTAATTTTAAAAGCCACTAAGATAAGCTAGCTAAGTTAGCCACGAACTACGCTAGCTTTGGTTGTACATAAAAACTAATATGCTTTTCTAAAAAAGCTTTGTGCCTGGCTTTGTTAAGTGTATTAAATGAGAATCACATTACAACTCAATAGAAATTTCTGATATGAATAGACAACTGCTGCAGCCAGTTCGTGAACTATTTGAAGTTATTCTTCTACCAGTATCTGATATCTATTAGCTTCTTTGACAAGGTTGAACACAAATTTTTTATGTTGAACCATCATTTTGATAGTGCATATTGTCTTAATTGAACACCGCTGGAAAATTGCAGCAAAAAAACAAGTTCCACACTAATGCTGCCATTAAAAAAGCAAGACAATCCAGATCATTTAAGGTCTTGAAAATTAGACGCAAATTCCTAATCATTAAAGCAGCAGTATCCCAGTCATTAAACATGTCCAATGAAAAATGCTAAGGCTACTTGGATACTTGCTGAGAAGTCAGCACCATGGGGAGCTAAAATCAAAGTTTTGATGACACAGTATTTATTACACAATTGATCTGAAACCAGAGATCAAGATGGACGACTTTACCATGATGGAAGTACATACACTTCCTGTAAGAGTTAGTTTCTCTGAACATAAAATAGTCACTTTTCAATTGTTTGAATTTCAAAATCACATGTGAGTGCTGCAATTCCTAAATATGTTGAAAAACTTATGGATCTAATAAAATTTGAGTTTAAGTATTCTTATAACTTTTTTTGATGAGTTTATTTTATATACTTACAAGTTTATACACTTTTTATTGATTTCCCAAAAAAAAGTTTTGGCACTTAGCTGCCTTGACTTTGCAACACTGAATTTAGTGACACGAAAGAGGAAATGCAACTTGGCATTGATGGTATTCCAATATGTTAATATGTCATTGAAACTCCACAAATGATTACAAAATTATCCACGTAACTGATGGAAATTTGGACTATCCACATTTTCTTTGAGAATTACATTATTAACTTATATAAACAATTGCATTTTTTAAATGTTGCATTTATGCAACAAACATCTACGCAAGAACTGTGCTGCTTTCTTTGATTCAATTGTCAGACCTCACACTTTCACTTCCCATGGAGTAACTGGCTGTACACCTATAACATGAGGAATATTAAATCCAGTAGTTTCAGTTACAAATTATTTTAATGCCAGTTATTAACTTTACCTATTACCCTATTGCGAGTTTATAATATATCAAGGTCTAAAGGATTTGCCAATTCTTCAAAGCAGGCAGACTATATACGTTAACGGCAAAATTCAATGAAGAATGTTGGATATTATGGGCAATGGTATTTCATGTGGTTATTCCTTACATTTTCTATTGAGATTGTTTGCTGTTTTCCTTTGAGATTGTGTGGAAAACTTTTGCTGCTCAACAATGCTCTACAATATGCACAAGATGTCTTAGGTTGAGGTGCAAATTAAAAAGAAAACTGAAAAAACAGTTTTTATCAACAGTTTTTATCAACACAAAATTCATGCAAAATATTGTTGTTGTTGTTGTTGTTGTTGTTGTTGTTGTTGTTTCAGTGCCATCATCAGAATTTTCTTTTGAAGGGAGGTCAATAAGTTAACATTTGATACAATAACAATCAAAACTGATGGCCTTTTAATGTAACATTTTGTATAACCTGTTCACAAAATTTTAGAATGATTCTACCACACACAACAATGAACAATTTAATATCAACTATTTAATTTTTATACCACAAATGTAAAATTGGTATACTTAACATTTGCAACTTCCAAAAGGCAAGCACGACTTGATCACACAATGTGATTAATTTTTTCTTCTCCTTTTATTCTTTTTCTTCCATTTTGGGAGGGAGTTAAGCCTGATGGTCACAGGTGGCAGGCGGCATAGTTCTTCAGCAATGTAAGGTCTTTGTAAGTATTACACAAGTAAATGAGATTAATGATTCGTTGTTGAATGCAATAACTTAACATTCATTAACATAAAGACATGATGTATCATTAAAGAAAACATATTAATAACAATTGTACTTGACAAATTTAAATACCATACAAATTTCTCATCAGTCAAATTGTGAACACTTTTATGTGATAATTTTTTGCTTTAATAGTGTTTAATATCAACATCAGGTCTACTGAATCCTTCCAAATGTTCGGTATTAAACATTAATTTTACTAAAGTTAACGTAAAAACAACAAAGCCCAGTAACTTAAGATTTAATAATGGCACAATGCCACAGTTTCACAATTCAAAAGTGCAAGAGTCGCACAATGTATTAAAAAAGCCTTGCTACAACGGATGCAAATGTTTCTATAAGCTGTGAAGCACAGGTCCAGAAAACATACATGTTTAAGACTCCTTGAAGAATTCTACTGCTTTATTATTACTTCCTGAATTTCAATTTTGTTTCTGCAATGTATTCTGCAAAGATGCAAAATATAACTATCCTATGACAAGATTGGTTGGTTACCTATAATTTAAATTGGTTACAGTGTTTTCAGGTTTTAAAGATAAAGATACTTCTGATCATACCAATACATCCATTTACCAAACAGATCAGTAGCTATTAACAATTACAATTTACCTGTACCATGAATTACCAACAGAAAGAGGCAAAAAAGGAAATTTCTTACAACAGATGATTGTTCAATGATAATGCACCAATATATAAAAGCACCATCCAACACTACCATAACAATGTCAACATTTAATGATGTTTCCTTGAATCAGTATTTATATGACTTTAAAATTTGGTTTCTTTGGTTGAGTTAGCACCACTGTCAAAAGCGTTACAGCAGTTTCCATATTCAGCAACATAAAAAAACAGGAGAAAAATAATTTGCCATCAATTTCAAGATAAATGATTTTCCTTATTTTAATGAAACTTATTTCTGTGAATTTTCTTTGGCTTCTTGAGAATACTTTTTTCCATAAAGATGACTCTGAAAACCTTAAAATCCGATCAATATGACATACCCCGAGTCATCAACTAGCAATCTCAAGGTCATGGAGAATAGAAGCAGAGTAACAATGATTATTTGTATAGAGTTTGGCTTCCAAGAACTTGACCCATAAAAGTATGTATCCAGGAGATTATGGAAAACTACAAACAGCTCACTCTCTTGTCATTCTCTTCTAAGTAAATTTATTGAACAGCAAAGTTCTTTCTTTTCCAAAAGAATCACAGTAAATTTTCCAAAACTCATTTACAGGACTTGTGTGTTATTTAAATCAAAGAAACTCCATGAATAATATAAGTTATATTTTGCAGACCATTCCTTGGATATTAGACAAGAATATTACATGTATGATTACTGAACATACAATTTTCTAGAATTTGGTGCATAATCATGAACAGTCATTTTTCTAGTTTTTTCTCATAAATACCATTATATGATTAAGTACTATAATCAAAATTCTGCACACAAAAATATTACAACTCCTCCCTTAGTTCACAGATTTTACAAACAAAGTAATACATTTACCATAACAATCATTAAAAGAAGTTCTTTGAATAAATTATATTAACTAAATGAGATTTTAATGTACCATACATCAGTTCTATAAATCCTTGTCAGACCTGAGTCAACAACAACCAAGGGATTTTAAATATATTTAGCAAATCCACGATTTGATACTTGAGAGTGAAATGCAACAAAACATTATGCTGTCACACGTTATAAGTTTTTACTAAACTTATCTACTTTAGAATTTTTACCCAGCAGCCACAGAATTCATAAAAAATATCATAAAATATTATTTAGTATAAATGAAGAGGGTAAATGAAACTTCTCAGAAGTTTAAGTTCAGTCCATGAGTCCTTGCAAGAGGAGTAATTCCTTTTGCACAATAATTGAGTTTTCAAATGTTGCATGCATTATGGATTTTAATTTATAACAATATTATTTGCATGTTGATAACTATGGCAAGAGTCAATTAAAAATAATTGAAAATTGTGTTCAAAAAAGAATATGTAAGTTCCTCTTTGTTCATCTTGTCATTTTAGCACATTCTTTAATATGTAATACCTATCGTAAGTGTCAGTGGAGATTTCAAAACTAAACAAAAATGTGCCCTTTGTTTCTTCATTTTTAATTTTATTTATTTGTATCTATTAGTAATTAAAAATGTCAGTATGTTTAGTAGATGAAACTTTTCTCATTTCCTAGGATCACAGGTTTTCTTTGGGCTAGTGTCAAACATCCTTGGACCTTCTCTTTCTCTTGAAATACGCTTTCCATCCCACTCAAGCCCAACTCTCAAGCAAACTAAGACTTCAAAATGCAATTCATACTCTGTGAGCTGAACTGTCCTAAGAAATAGTTCCCAGAGGACCACGAAATCAATTTCACTCACAAGGCATGCTGTGATGGTCATTGATAAGTTCCCTCAGAGAGAGAAAAGGGGTTAGCAAATTTCGTACCGAAGTTTCAGAATTACTGAAATACATGCATTGTTATTTTATGGGCACATGTATTAAATTCATCTGTTTTTCCTTAAACGCAAAATAACCTACCTGCCGAAAGAGCAAATGTAAATGTCACCATCCCAAGTAATCTGCCAATGAGTCACATCGCAAGATGATACTACATAAACCGTATACACACAACTCTTCTTCTTTTTATTTTATTATAGTTCAAAATCTGTAGATGTACCATTTAATAGAGGTCAATCTACAAATTGTGCCTAGTTGCTGGCTGCAGGAACCTGGTGGCCGCTCAAAAGAGGGAATTTTTACACTGCCTTATGTAAAAATCAATCGATTATAGAAAAAAAGATTAATGGAGATGGAAGCTCAATCAAGGTGGTTAGTTGTGCATGTACAGAGGAACAATTTTCTGAAGACATAGTACTAAACTTCAAATAGTAACCAAATATGGAGTTCAGAAAATTTCTACATATATTCTTAAACCAGGTCGGACAAGGATGTCAAAATATTTCTTTGTTATCAAAATAGAACCTTCAATCATTCCATTAATTATGAACACAAAAACATGACTGTAGGTTCTTTTCATACGTTTTTCGTCTTTATTATACACTCAATTGTAGCAATATTCCAATCAAAAGCATCATTTTAATGACCATACCTTTTACAGTGGACTCTGATTAATTCTATTTGTAATAAAATTCCAAATTGTTGCTGAGCAAATGGTTCCAACACACCACAGCACCCAGAGGAAGAAATGGCATTGTCAATGTTGAGAAAATATGTTATTTTTGCTGTTGTTGTTTATTGCACAAACATAAGCTGCAGTTAAACTGCAGGGATAGAATAAGTCATTAATATTTCACATTCCTCAAATTTTTAAGCACTAAAGTGTTTATATTTTGGATGATAATAATAAAATATATTAGTCCTAAAGTTTAGAGTTGCTGGTTACAAACTACTCAGTACCTACTGGCTTTATCTGTTTAAATCTATTTACTTTAACAGATTTATTTTATTAAATGGATTTGTTTGTAAATTTAGAATTTTTTGTCCAATTTTGAATTAAATAGAGACCACTGCAATCATCATATTTTGTATGGAATGTCAAAAGTCAATTGACAAGTTTTAAAGAAGTTAAAAATGTCATAATAAAACAAAAGAATCTGATGACTAGAATTCTTATAGCCAACAAGTTTTTTGTCAGTTCAACAATGATATGAAAGACAACTAATATTACAATATAAATAAATAAACAAACAAACAAACTCAAAAGGCATGCTTAACTTCACTACAACGTAAAGGTACTTTCTGGATGTACAATGCAGTCCCATAACAGTTCAGGAACTGACATTGCAAAATAATTTCACAAACAATACCCAATTTGTGAAGACTTCAGACTGTATAAATGTACTCATTCAACTTTCTCTACAATCTGGATATTCCAACTATAATTACATTAAAAGGCATCTTTTATGTTCTGAAATTGACGAACAGCTAGGTCCACAGGTAGATCAAATTTATAAGGAGTCAATTTATCCAGACTCTCAAAACTATCTTCAGCTCCTGAAACAAGAATTTGTTTTATTACCTTTCTAAATCCGTACTTTTTAACAGCATTTAGCACTTGTAAAACCTAACATTCAGTGATGGGAATAGATAGGTATACCTGTTCTGACAATGTAACTCCAAGATTGATAATACATTTGAGTAAGTTTCTGACATCGAATTATCAGACGCAACCATGTCACCAACTTCTTTGAACTGAAAAAAGAAGGATATTTAACATTAAATGCATCTACAGCAAAGTTAAACAATTATGAAAGAAAACTTACATATTCCTTCAAAAAAAGCTTTAGTAGAAGCACTTTATGAACATTGATAATCTAAAGAGTGATAATTTGTATGAAATACACTACAAATGCTGTTAGCAAATCGTGTTTCTGTTGATTTTCCCATATTTCAACAATACCTAAACATAAATCACCAATCTGTCTAACTAATTTACTAATCTTAATAATCCATTAATGACCAGTCTTGTCATTTGGGATCTGCAAGTTTATGAATATTTTAAAAAGTAATATATTAAGTTTTGCTGCAAGCAGAAGTACTTTTAGATACATAAATACAAACATGGGTTTCTTTTGTTTGTTTTTATTATAATATATGAAAGACTATTAAATGTGATCAACAATAAATGGAACAGATCACTTCCATTTTATAGTGATGCCATTTAAATTTAAAAGTGATGATATATTCCAAGAATAGACATTTCATAATATTTAATTATTACTTTCTACAAAGTTTTGAGGAAACCTCAATTTCAGGAAGTTTCCATAAAAATAACCATATTTTCAGAAACTAACCACAAAAGAAATTGGGTTTCCTTCAAATGTGGACATTGGCTGATAACATTATCTACAAGGATGTTATCCCTTTATTGAAAATTTTCTGATGATTCTATTACAAAGTTTACAGACAAGTTGAATCACCATAATTAACAGTCAACAGAGCCATGCATTAGTCTTTTTTTATATTTCATTATTTGATGGTAATACTAAAACTAGAAGTGTTACATGATACTGTCCTAAAATTATTTGTAACATATGCCAAATGATTATCATTATATTCTGGATAATAGAAAGCCTATTGGGATAATAACTTTTAAATTGAATTTTTGATGTTTGATAAATTAGAAGTTTTTGTGAAATTATGGATGTTTAGAAAAAATCTTTGTAACCATTCTGTACTGAACTTGAAGAGGCAAACTGTTAAGTTTTGAACAACAAAAAACAAAATAACATCAATCCTGGTTTTACTTTAATATGAATTACCCCAATAGGTCTTTTAATTATTCCAGGAATATAAGGGGTTTTCAGAAATTTATCTCTTTCTATGATAATTACATGGCAAATTATGGATCTCTAAAATTTCAGAGCATGTCACATACAAATCCGTCACCAACAATCATCAATGTCTTTGACAATAGACATTATGTATTTGCTTCACACACACACAAAACACACAAGTATCTTCTAAAAACCACTTCACACAATGAAATTTTTTGTTAATTAAAAACCAATCAGTGATAGTTAATGTGATCTAATTTTTTATATGACAGTAATGACCTTAAATTATTTTAGACAAAAAATCAAATGATCAAACATATTTGACTATTAAAACTGTATCTTTCCTCATAAAAATTTTCATTGTAATAACTGCTTGATTTCAGACTGATAATGTGGCCACATATTGTCATGAAAGATAGTAGATTTTTGTTATATTTTCACCAATGACAATAATTGTTTTCAAAAAAATAATTGGTTTTATGATCTTTAAATATTCAAAGATACCATTAGCACATAAGAACCTTTTGTTCTTTGTGGAAAATAATGTGAATAGCAACACAATTTATTTATCATAACACTTTCCATCCTATGCACGTATCTTATACATCATCTTTATTTTACTGCTATGTCTGCTATGCTAAGTCCTATGGACGTATGGCATATGTATGTCTACATTTTCGTTTTTGACAGGCAATAAATGTCTTTTGGACATTCAGAGTCACCTAGAATATGTTTTTTAATATTATTAAGGTCATCGCAGCACAAACCTGGATATTCATTCTTTCGAGCACTGTAAATTACGTTCAGAATATCTTTCTTTATCAGCAGTGTTCGTGCTGTTAGCGATACATACAGATGTTAAGAACACGTAGATGTAACATTCACTGTGACTCAACATTAGAAGTTCAAGAAATTTTGTACAATGGATCAGAACAGGATTCTTCTGATAAGGACGTCGATTTCCCCCCCTAGACTATTGTTTAGTTTGAGCAATGAAAATTATATCAAGGGGAGTAATAATGATGCGAATGATTCCATTGGTAAGACGTCTCCAATTCAAGGTATTCTTTTTCCTAAAGAATGCTGTGAAATTGATAAACAATCTGAATTCCCAGTGTTTGAGACAACCAGTGAAATAAAATTTCTGGGAAATGAAGACAACTGGACTAGATTATTTCTCATCATCTTTGTACCACAGTATATCTTGAAAATAATAAATAGACACGCAAATGGAACTAACCTTGAACTTCAACAAAATATAATTACAGTGCACCAGTATTGTTGACACATGAAGTTTACTGTGTCCCCACCATATTTTGTAACATTGTTACTTTCAGCAAAAATTTGAAATTTTCTTTGAATTCCATTCTCACTACCTCTTACAATCAAATGATAAAATATATACAGTTGATACTCTGAGCCACCACAGCTGGTAACGACCCACAGAATGTGGATTCTGACTTCACCAAGTATTTGAAAAAGTAATTTACTGCACAGCAAGAAAATTTACATTTTACAAAATGGGCCACAAAATAGATACCATACTTACCCAAATATAAGATGATCCCCTAAATTTAAAGAGATCTCCTGAGAATGTTTTAAATTTGTAACTAATTCTTACTATTTAGTCAAAATAAAATTGTAAATTGACTAGAACGCTGTCTTGTGGAAGAGAATAGTATAACTTAGGCCTGAGCTAACACTATTTTCTTGTTCCTTTTAAAATTATCATTATCATAACTTTTGTACTAATCGCTACATCTTTATGTGGTTTTTTCTCCTCTCATACTGCAATGTTTTCTGACCTTTTAGGCCCATTGAAAATTTTGGTGTCTCAGACGCCACCTACGAACATTTCCTTCTTTGTCACTAATTTTCTTCCTGTCCAGCCCTTTATTCGTGACTTGGTATCTTTAAGAGTTCCTTCACATTCTTTAACATAATATATTTTTTATATCTTTAATATTATACATTTTTTTCCCGTTTCTGTCTCAAGCAAAAACGCAATTTGCACTCGTCGGGTGTCGAACCAGGCTGAGACTGAGCAGCTTCGATGATCCTGTTACGCGTATTGTGCAACAAATCATTGGCAATGATTTTTATTTTATTTAATATTTTCACTTGATACAGTGCCATTTGTTTGAGATCCTCTCTTTCCCTGCCCATTCAAAAATATCTGTCTGAATCGCCCGGCATATGGCGAATATAATTACGTGGGTATTAGAAACACATGCTATTTTTATCGCCTTCGCAGCTTACCGTAGGGAAAACATTTACGAGTTTCATTACGAGAAGGCAATGTAAAACATAAGTCCAAACCAAGTAGGCTTAATCAGCGAATACACGACGACCTCCTATTTTTCGAATGAGATATTTAGAAGAAGAAAAAAAACTCGTCTTATATTCGGGTAAATACGGTACATCTGTCAGACATTCATTAACACTTTCGTAACTTTACTGCTTTGTTAAAAAAAAATTTATGTAAACAGGAAAGTAAAAATGTGGTGCCATTTCTGAGAAACTTATGAAAATATCCCGTATCTCATAGAAGCATGTCATGGGTTTAAATATTTGGGTGGAATTATACACAAAGAAGACTCCAGAAAAGGTATTGTTTTGAAGATGACAAGCCATTGAAAATTCAAAATCACTGTTCTGTGAAAAAGAAATATCCAGGTTTACTAAGAAAAGGCATTTTGTCACAATTGTATAGCTCTCTATGGTTCAAAACATGGGAATACAGGAGGGAAAAAGAAAAAAGGAGAGAGATAAATTAAGGAGCCAACAATTGTATTTTTTGAGAAGTTGTGATGTATCTAAAATGGAACACATAAGAAGACGCAATTATGAAGTACATTGTAAAAAGTACAAAAATCAAAAAGTTTTGTGTGTGGTTTCCATTAGGAAATAAAAAAGGTAGACCCAAAGAGAAATGGTTGAATCAGGTTTTTAAAGATATGCAAAGCGGAGATTTGGAAGAAAATGACTGAACAACTATGTGGGATATGGAGATGGAAACAAGAGATGGCCGCCAAAGTTATAAAATACTCGCAACAAGGAGATGAAAATGTCCTCTGTTATCATTTCAAGTTCCCCAAAAAATTAAAAATTAATTTGAAATTCAAAGGACCTGGAGTTCAGACAGATTGATCAGGTAATACCTATGGGGAAAGTTCTGTGTATGGTTACGATGAACTTGTTCACGGACAGACAGTTTTTTTTAAAAATTAATGTTTTCAGTATCAGGGACCAAAAAAATGTGGATTTCCATCAATATGTCAAAGTAGATTTCTTGCAGCATTAAATATCTTTCTAATTACAATGGACATACACTCATTATAAACTCATCATAATTATTTGAGCAAGAACAATAACATGCCGAGAAATCACTGAAAATCACTGAATCATTACTGAAATCTTGTTCCCATTGATAAAGAATGATTCTATCGCAAGTAAATACAACAGCATACTCATTATTATTTCTAGAACAGAATCTAATAATTATGATACTTACTTTAATGCTGCACATATAAATGCTTTTAAATGTGAATCATAACTTCTTTTATACTGTGTGTGCATATTAATAATATTGCCAATTACACTCAGCATATTCTGAAAATAAAATAAAATTACAAAATTTTTACATCATCTTCACCAGTACTATCATCATTAAGTATCAGGGTGTATGCTAGATTTGAAGAGACCCAACAATCCCTTAGTTGGCCATTAATTAATTTCAAGGTAATAGATTTAGTGTGACAGAATGTAGGCCAGTTGTCACAGTACCATCTGGCTGTGGTGGGATTTATATGATTTTGAAATCCCTAAATAAAATATTAGCTGTGTCCCTAACAATAAGGTGTAGAAAAAACACATTTCAATATTTATTTTTATATATTAAGCAATGTACTACTTGAAGATATCAACACACATTTTCTTTGTTCTTAAAAATACATACGTAATATTTTACATAAATGGTCATTTTTCTTCACTTTATTTTAGTAAAAGTATTGATTATATCATAATTGTAAGTTTTGGATGAATGACTTGGATAAAGAGAATGTTAATTTTTATTCCTAAGAAAAATACATAGGCAGGTACAGTAAACGTACAACATGGAATGACTTTCATTTCTTTTCAGAAGGAAGGCATTTGAATTAAATGAATTAAAATCGTTAATTCACTAGTCAAAACATCCCCTAATTTCCCTAAAAATTAAAGTACATATTCTCTACCAACACTATACATTTTACATGCCCACCCACAAATCAATTTCTTGGCTAGTAATAATTGACAAACATTGAATGAAAATATAATAAAGATTCCTTGCCTGTTTGTTGGAAATTGCTGTTCCACCTACTATATCCAAATTGAAACTCTGAGACAATTTCCTCGCAGGAGTTGAATTGTACTTTTCTCCATTTTTCATCTCATAATACTTCAATATAAGTTCCCAAGCATGCATAGGCTTGTTCCCTCCATGACCAATATGGGGAAAACAACCCATAAAAGGAACCACACTTACACTCTGCCCAACCTAAAACAATTATGACAAGGATGTAAAAAGAGGTATAGTATTATATTACTGGGACAGGAAAATACAAATTAGCAGTTTGAGAACTTACTGCCATCAACCCATGTTGCATGAGATCTCTGATGCTCGAGGTCAATTGCTTTCTAACAGCATGTGTCAATTGAGCATTGCACATTAGCACTTGTCCATCATCCGAATCTGATGCATAGTCACTATCTAAAGGTTTGATAGGATTTGCAACAAGTTCAAGCACTCTATTAACAGCCATCTCTAAACGAGCACGTAGATCCCTATAAATAAAGGATCCTAATGTTATGAAAATAACTTTATGGTACAATAAGTTGACATTCATAATAATTTACAAATGTGATACAATTGTAGAACAGTATGGTGCTTAAAAACAATCAAAAGAAACCTTTAACGTCCAAAGACTGGCTTCGAAATGTGTTGGAGACTGATTTACAGGATGAAACCACAAAACGTTCAAAATTTGTTTGACATTTTATAGCTACATTATTAAAGAAAGATTTCTTTCTTGATGCAATTTATTTCTCAAAGTTAGCTCTTGAAATCATTTCATGTACAAGATTTTCAAAATACGAGTTGTTTTTATGATTTTTTTGAGATAATTTTCTGAGGTGTAAAAACCAACAATATGTTGAAAACACAATTGACATCCACCTGTAATGTTAAACATCTTAAGTGGTATCACACTGGCATAATTTTTCTTGATCTTCAACATTTTCATATATAGCATAGCATAAACAAATTTTTAATGAAAATGGCACTTTTGCAATCGACATTAAGAGTTTTCAAAAGTTAAAGATATGCATTTTTTCAAGTGTCTTGAGTGTAGATTCATTAAGATTTTTTTAAGATAAGGGTGAATGGTTAGTAAGACAGAAGTTACAACATTAAACATAACTGTTACAATTGATTACTGTAACTGTTGAAGGAAAAAAGCATTGTAGCACCACTAGTTTATCATTACAAAACTATCATTACCATCCAAGTAATACAGTTTGAAGTAACTGTCATCACATCATGTTTAGAAGACTTGGAATCATTTTAGTACATAGAGCACAATACTAGTTGTCTACTGTTGAAATTGTGTGTTTTATTATTCAAATGAGGTACAATATATGAGGTTTGGGAGATTACTATTGCCATTCAAGTAGGATTATCAATCCCCATGGTGTGTGTAATATGAAAGTTTTAATACAGCATTCATGTCATATACTACAGAGATATAATGGAATTTAAAATGTGCAAGTTCACTATTCCAATTTGCTACTTTTCTGTATTTAACTGATGTACACAGACTAAGTCAGTTTCTCATGTATAGTACCTGGAATTCATATACTATACACCACCTCTGTCACATGAAACATGCCACTCTCAGTCAGTGTAGCCATTAGCTTATTAAAAGCTCAGTGCTTGTGTCAATGCAATAAGTTATATGTTTGACCCACAAAGGTCACCATTTCACAAAGCAAATAGGAGTGGGTGCCAAGATACCTTCTTTCTGAAATGTTAGCATTAAAAGTTGGCAGAAATAGCAATAACAACAAACTAGATGACTAAGATTGATAATTCTGACATACAAAAGTTTAAACACAGAGTACAGTTCGAGATTTCTTGATCCTCTTTCAATGGATTTACAGTATGAACGGAATTATTTTGAAGTAATTATTATGCTTAATATAACAATTTTCATAAGTACATTTAAAACAATATTAAAATACTTGCCCCCAATGATTTGCTTTCATGGTTTTCTTCAGAGAATTCTTTCTGAAATGGTCAGAGCCACAACCGAATTGCACAGCTGCAAACATTTGCAGAAGAGTGGCTGCTTTTTTCATAATATTTATTGTTTCTGCTCGAATCTAAAATTATAGAAATATATTAAATTTAGATACACTACAGAATATAAGTATTCCTGGAAAATATATTCATGGTATATTTCTACACCTCTTCATCATGTTTCAATGTAGATTTCCTTTTGGCAGATGAAACTGTGGAAGAATGATTACCATGAATGGCGCACTTGCAAACGCAATCCTTCCGTTTGGAAGGAACATCTGGAGTCCCTTCACCTGCCATGAAAAAGAAAACAAAAGCTTTAGATTTTTTTCAACCATGAAAAACATAGTGTACAATAATATGAAACTATTTTGTCAGGAAATGAACAAACTGTTTCGTTCCAAGCCCAGACAAATTGCAAGAATTACATAAAACATAGTATAGAATTTTGCTAAATACATAAATAAGCACAGAGGTTAATTTCCACAGTATTCCAACAGCAACAAACAAGAGCAATAGAAATAATTGCACAAGTTTTTAAGAAAAAATTTATAAACATATTACTTAATTTTCATGAGATTGTTTTTCATTTAAGTGAACTATTCATAATGAATGTAAACTATAACAAGACATATGTAGCAAAATTTCCAGTATTATGACTATGGCCAAGAAAAGGAAATACATGCTAAATGAAATACTATATGTTCACAACAAAATCAGCAACACTACACACTACATTTAAACTTAATGAAATTCAGTAAAAGCTCAAAAGTACACACTTGTGTAAAAAATTTTAAGCATCTATTTTTGTAAATATACAGAAGTGCTTCACAGTCGAATGATACTAAATGTATGACATTTGATGTAATACATTAATTATATGTTTCACATAAATAACTTGTAATTTAACATGAATCAGGTGTCAAAACTTGGTACTCCAAAGTTGGGGTCGAGATAAACATTATTTTTATAAACGCATCACATCTTATGGCACAACACCTCTCTACTAGACCTATGTGCTGTACTCAAGAGAGACTTCTCACCTTGGCTCAGGGGACAAGGATTCGTGAAAAAGTGTAAGTGTGAACAAGAGCGAACGAGAGAGAGAAAGAGAGAGAGGGCGAACGAGAGAGAGAGAGAGAGGGCGAACGAGAGAGAGAGAGAGGGCGAACGAGAGAGAGAGAGAGAGGGCGAACGAGAGAGAGAGAGGGCGAACGAGAGAGAGAGAGGACGAACGAGAGAGAGAGAGGGCGAACGAGAGAGAGAGGACGAACGAGAGAGAGAGAGAGGACGAACGAGAGAGAGAGAGAGGACGAACGAGAGAGAGAGAGAGGGGGCGAACGAGAGAGAGAGGGGGCGAACGAGAGAGAGAGGGGGCGAACGAGAGAGAGGGCGACGTTCCGACTGGTCGTTATGTTACTCACCTAATGACATATTTCAATGGCGATGAGACGGGATCTTTTTTTATGGCATAACGCAAATGTCAAAAACGAGAGTAAGACTGCAGTGAAGTGCCAATACGACAGGAACAGAGAAAAATAAGATGTACCAATTGGTAAGCATAAAGAACAAAAGATTCCTTGTGAACTATAAGTGGTTCAAAATGTTGGATGACGTCATCCATATTTTAAAAAATCCTTCGACGAGGGATCGTGAATTGAAAACCAAAGCAAGAAAAATTCCGCTTCCAGTAGACAACTGCCAAGCCCATTCTCACGTTGAGATCCTCGATAACATCACACCGGTGCTTCTGCCTACCAAAACATCTCTTCTGCAATCAAAGGACCAAGCTGTCATTTACAATTTCAAAATTTATTACAAGTTGGCAGCTTCATTACATCAAACCTTTAGAATTAAATTAGACCACAACCACAGGTGCTACAACATTCTTTCTCGTGTTATTTATAACCTGGATTTTTTCGACAATTAGACAGTTCAACGAAAATGAGACCGGCGCCATTTTGTCTAAGGAACAAATTTAAACAAAAAAATGAAGCCGATTTTTGAAGAAAATAAATAAATAAATGTTGCCTTCACTTCAAGCAAAAATGCCGCAAAAACTAGCCATCTTTCAAATAAATTTACTTGACCTTATTTAAAGATGGAATATTTTAAGAACGGATTTCATTTTAAAAAAACGTCTATTAACGCAAATTGCAAAAAATTAACAAAGTCGTATTGACGATAGTTCAAGAAAAATTAGACCTGCGCCTTTTTAACCGTCTTTGCTTTATAGAAGAAAAAGTTTTGGATAATAACCTGTGATGAAAGTTAGATATTTTATTTTGAACCGGTTTCCAAGCGAGGGTAAAAGCGTGATCCAACACAACGCTCGACCCCCTATCGCACAGACTAAAACTGACTACTACCTGCAAATGATTTGATATTGTGATCCTACCACATCCTCCTTACAGCCCTGACAATGCCTCTTGAGATTTTTGTTTGGTTATATGAAATGAGTTTTGCACGGCATCAAGTTAAAGAACAACGAACATGTAACGATAAAAAGTACAAAACTGACTGAGATCAAAGTAAAGATTTCCTCGTTGAAATGGTACGAAGACTCGTAAGATGATGCGGCAACTGCAGAAAAGTCTGTCAGGATTACGTAGAAAAGTAGACAAAAAAAATTGTATACAGTTTTTGAAAGAATTTTACTGTACAGCTATTTAAATGAGGAATTAATGACTGACCTCTCCAAAATAAATAGACCCCCTTTCTTATGTAAGAAGTAATGCAAATTTTCTGAGCTTATTGGGCTCGTCAATTTTGTTTCAAACGAATATATTTCACATGGTTAGTAAACGCTTGCCTTACTTGTTACGACCTTAACCAACTAAGTAAACAGTTATTCCCAAACCATTTATGAATTTTAAGTTTTTTTTAACCGAGTTTGGCTTAATTATGAAAAAACAATTGTAAATTACAGGTGTGTTTGCTGCTATATTTTAACGTCCTTAAATTTTCAATATGAGAAACTTAGTTTTATTACTCAAAATAGGCACAAACATTCAACGGACGAAATGACGCGGGAATTCCAAACTTTGATGCCATGTACACCGTATTCTTAACGAATTACTGTTCTTAGGTTAGGCGGTGATAAATACAAACTATTTTGTGCGATAAGAATGACTTACTGTCACCTAAAAAAAAACAAAGTTGACACTTGGGTGTTCTGTTTTGGTCTGTGGAAATGTGCAGTGCAACATTACAATCTTGACAACATATTTCATCTTCACAAAGCTAAATCAATACCACGGTACTGATAAAAACAAAATAACTTGTCTCTTTCCGGACACGAAAACCGGAATTTAGGGGCCTTGGAATCACCGTTTCCGACTTACACATAGTGGGTATGCGTGTAGCGTGCGCTGACACGTAAACCTGTATCACAATCTGTGATCTACTATGTTTTTCGCCTTAAATCTGTTTGATGCAGGTCTGGGAAGTATTTCCTTCTCCGGCCTTCTCCTTTTAGAAGATGGTTTCTTATAATTGGAACAAAATCGTCCTATTTCCTTAACGTAAAGTTTTTCGTTTTTTTATAAATTTTCGTGGCTATCTTTATATGTCAATTCCCACATCCTGTTTCAAAATTTTCAGATATGCTTGCAACCAAAAATTCACTTATTTCTTAAATTGTTTGTTTCATATACAGTAAAAAATTTCACTGAATAAATTCTGTGAATATGTTTTCTGTAGTTTCTTTTTTTCCTAACAAACCATATAACAAAGAATTTTGGCATAAAATGATTATTTTATTTCAGTGATCCTGAAGATGTAAAGTACATTTGGTTGTAAGTATTAGGTTGTAAGACATTTCTTTTGCAGTTTGGTTGGGTCTTTCTCAATGTTTTGGCAGTAGAGTCGATACATTAATGTAGGGGGCGCTGTAACGAACGAGCCATTTTTATTTACAGAAATTACGTAGCTAATTGTTTTCATGTTCATTATATGTACATTCAATGTTACGTAACTTTATCATTAGAGTTTGTATATTTAATATTATTGTGTAGAACAGGGGTTCCCAACATGGTTGGTATCAACCCCCTCAGGGATTGATATTTTAAAGAAGTAATAATGATCATGAGATTGAACACCAAATTTCTTCTGGACACAACTGGTATAATCTAGATCAAGATCACAATAATTAGAAAAATATTAATGAAGTTGAAAATTATTTGTTTTCTGATATTAATAATTTTCCCTATGTTTTCATCTAATATTGTCTGATTTCCTCTACTTTTGAAATTTAACATAATTCACATAAATAAAAATCAAACTTCTGGGCAATTAGAATTAGTGATTTTGTTTTGACAAATACTTTATATTTTTTAAATTAATCATGGTAATAGTACAGAAAACGCCCCCTCAAATTTATATTTTTTCAGTAATTACAGTTGACTCTGGTTATAGGGAACTTCTGGGACTAACATTTATGGTTTACTATATCCGCTGTCAAAATTAAATATAATTTCACAAGAAAAATTGATTTTATTAATATAGATACAGCAAAATACATTAACAGAATGAACTGAACAATACAGTATCTTTATTTGAATCCTTAAAAAATCAATTATTTTCTATTGTTTACTTCGTACATATTTCATTGGTAATTCCTCTCGCTCCTCCAGAGTTCGTGCTCTCTCCATATTTGATTTTGCATTGTCCTCTGGGTCAAAGCATCGTAATGCAGTGTGGAACTCATTCAATGCATTGTTGGATCACCGTCCGACACACCGGCCTTTTACTCGCGTAATTACATACGAGATTCTTTCCGTAGCGGGATGACGCAAGCGGCAAATGAGACTAATACCGCACGGCAGATATTGCCAGGCCTGTGGCAGTCTAGTGCTTCCTGTCGCCTACGTACAACTCAACGTGCTTTGTCCCGCGGAAGTGATACCAAGCCTGAAACTGAAGCAGGCAATTCCGCGTCGCTGTCGCTAGTTGTAGCCTACGTAGGACATGGCTTTTGTTTCCCAATGACATTGAGTGGCATAAGGTCGTCACTTAGTAAGGACCCCGTTCCAGGACCGTTAACTCAGAGGTGTCGATTATGACCTCTGGCCGACGATATTTTTTTCAAGCTGCCTAGTGATGGAATTTGTGTCACTGAGGCGAAATACTAG